TCCTCCCTAGTCATTGTCCAACTCTCTGATGCATAACAAGCGATTGCAAATACCATGGCCTGTATCAGGCGCACCTTAGTCTCCAGAGAGACACTGTTGCTCTTGAGTATTTTGGAGAGGTCCCTAACCGCAGACAGAAGTTCAAATATTCTAGTAACTTTGTGGGACAAAGAGCTGGAAGTCAGCTTGCATAAATACTGTAGCCAGAAAACCTCCATGGGACAGTTCTTTTTTGTGTCATGGGTTCACTATGATTAGAACAATGACTTGACCCCGTACAGCAACAATATAACATAAAATATATCATGTTTTATCTTAAATTTACTTCTTCTGAACCAAGATACTTTCTGCATTTTAAACTGACTATTGTATATCAGTCTTTGTTATATATATACATTTATAGCTTTTATACATCCTCTTAAAATCTAAATAGTTTCATTTTCTGCCTTTAAATGTTCTCGGCTTCTACTTTACTAATTTTGTAATTGTCGCAATGTTACTGTTCTTTCCTAGGTCAGTAAAATCAGCTTGGTGGACTTAGCAGGAAGTGAGCGGGCTGATTCAACTGGTGCCAAAGGAACTCGATTAAAGGTATTAATTTTATCAAATAAGTGACCTCGTCAATAAATGTTCATTAACAAGGGCAGGAAACTATAACCTATGGGCCATAGCTGTCCCACTGTCTGTTTTGTAAAAAAAAAAATGCCCTTAAGACACAGTTACACCCATTGCTTTATGATGTAGCAACCTATAATACTTACTATCTGCCCTTTATGAACAAATTTTGCTGGTTTCCTGTCTTTAACATTGGTGAAAAACTAAGTTTTATGATGGAATAGTTAGTGAGGACTTGATGGGCAAGATGAGAATTAAGTTTTGAGGAAGAGGCAGAATTTGACTAGTTGGAAGTTAGAGACAGTAATGAGAAAATGGTCCAAAAGATCTAAAGGTGAAATACAGGCATGAATGTTTCTAGAGATACTGTTCAAGAAGAACAGAAACTGGATGTTGCTGAGTTGTAAGAAAAAGTTTCAGCTGTAAATTCTGAAGCACCAGCATGATGAAGATATTTTAAGTACGTGATCCTAGCATGTCATCAAGGGAAAATGGATTAGTAGATGGATTTCTTAGACACATGACATAATTAACAGGTAATACTGGCATATGGCTACTTGTCAGTCATGGTATGGCATATGTCAGTCTAGAAACTAAGGTGCACCTGATCCCAGTTATACACAAAGCATCAGAGAGTTGGTCAGTGACTAAGGATGACAGAAGAAGGAAGAATCATTGCCTTCAAGTTCTGGTGCTGGAGAAGAATCAGGAGTGTACCATAGAGGCTAGGATTTTGAAGCTCTGTCTCACATACTTTGGGCATGTGGCCAGGAGAGACCAGTTCTTAGAGAATGACCTCATGCTCTGGAGGATGGAGGGACAGTGCAAAAGAGGAAGACCCTGCATTAAATGGATTGATACAGCAACTGGGACAGTGAGGATTGGTGTGTCAGAATTAGTGAGACTGGTTTAGGACAGAGCAGGCTTCAGAGCTGCTGTATATAGAGTCGCTGTGAGTCACAGGTGACTTGATGGCACATAACAACAACAACATAGCTACTTGTATTTTATATTTTATATATAACATATTCAAGCTTGGAAGTAGGTGTGGCATCTGCTCCCAAAATAGTTTGCCTCTGGAAACTACAAATCTGGAAGAACAGTGAAAGTTATGCAAGTGTTCAGGTCTTTCATTCATAAGGTTGTTATGAGTTGTCTACAACTCGACAGCACTTAACAACAACAACATATATTAGAACTAGAATTTCCCCATAATGCTTTCACTTTTGCTTTTATTTTTAGGAAGGAGCAAATATTAATAAGTCTCTTACAACTTTGGGCAAAGTCATTTCAGCATTGGCAGAGGTGGTAAGTATTATGGTACCTTAGAGAAATTTATCAGGTCATCAAATGTACTTGTTGATAATGTAGGTTTATTTATAAAGGCTGTTCATTTCAGCTCTTTTAAGTAATGTTGCCTTTCTCCTTTTAGGCCTTCTCAGATAAGATATTAGATATAACACACTTTGACTTTGTACTGAGAGTAAAAGATTAAAGAAAATGAAGGTCTGTCTGGTTCTGGAGAGTGAAAAGACCTGAGCTTTCACTATTTCATACCTTGTTTTATTGAGCTTTGCTTTATTGATCTTTAAAGATACTGAATGGTTTTCAAATTGAAGATTTGTGGCAGCCCTGAATCAAGCAAGTATGTATGTGGGTGCCGTATTTCCAATAGCATTGTGTCTCTCAGTCATATCTTGGTTATTCTCAGAGTATTTCGGACTTTCTCATAATGCTGTCACACACTTAATAGGCTACAGCTCAACAAGTAACTCATGCCATTGAGTCAGTTTCACCTTGTTGTGACCCTCCACTGAGCTTGTTTGTAACAGAAGGAGATTGCCTATCTGTGTCTGCCAGAGCGAGGGCAGATTCAGACCACCAGAAACACTTTACCGTTCAGTTAACAAAGCAATTAACTACCATACTATCAAAGCTGCCTAATAGACTACAAGTCAAGTTAAACCATTGTCATCAAGTCAGAACCAACTCATGGCTGACCTTCCATTGGGGTTCCAGGCAGTAAATCTCATGAGAGGACACTGTCCATGTTTCTCCTGTGGAGAATTAGTGAATTCAGTTTGCCAGTGAGGCAACACCTTTGGGTAAGCAACACAACTGCGTTCTAATTAGGCCACAGTACAATTCAGTATGACCATAACTCTTCCATGCATGGGAAGTCTGAAATGCATTTAACTCACTTTTTTTAAATAGTTACTGTTTGTAGTGGTCTAGAACTGAACCTGCAGTGCTTCCAAGATACGCCTGTATATTTTTCCCCAAGCCTTTTTACATAACTCTCCCCAAAACCAAGTATATTTATTATTTAGGGTTCTCTCAGGAGTTCTGGATGCCTAGTGGTAAGAAATTGTACAGCAATCCCAAAGCTGTGCAGTTCAAATCCAGCAGCTGCTCCACAGGAGAAGGATGGGCAGTCTTCTCCAGTGTGATTTACTGCCTCTGAAAACCCACTGGAGGGTCTGCTATGAGTTGGTTCCAACTTAGCAACAAAGAACCAACAACAAGAAGTGACACAAAGAGGCACTCACTGAAAAGTGCCTGGCAGTCCCACCAAGAGAAAACTTAGAAGACAGGACTAGTGATCTACTTCTGAAAGGTCACAGCCTTGTGAAAATCTTACAGAGCAGTTGTATCCTCCAAACATGGTGTCCTCTAAGCCAGCATGGCAACTGCAGTATTTATTGCATATTCTTTCCATGCAACTGTCTTGTATAAGTAGGATGCAGTGCTTTTAGAGGGTTTTGGGCAGTTTGACTTTGGTGAATGCTGTTCATTTGGATGTACAAACTAAATAATTGTTTAGAGTATTCTGTTCTTCTGTTCCTTAACAGTGTATCTGTAAAGTGGAACAACGTTTTAGTAAAGAGCTTCATTATTTTTGTTAGAAAATGAATGTTAGTGATTGTGTGCTCAGATTTAATTTAGGACCTCATCTGAGTCCCTGGAAAATGAACATGCTTTCTTATCTCTCAGAAATCATATTCAACTGTGATTTAAATTTAAACAAAATATTTTCTCTTTGGAGGTTTATTACAACTGTACTCTTGTTCTCTCCTTTAAATGCTTTCATCTGCAGGATAACTGCACCAGCAAGGTATGATGTGTGGATTAGTAGAAGTCAGCTAGCTGTAGTTAATTAAGTTTTAAATTTTCAGCATCATAAATGGGAATGGAACCTTCAAGATAAAACATTTTGCTTTGTTTTCTGATCCTGGAATTAAGATTAAGAGTGACCATGATTTGATTAAGAATGACCATGAGTCGTGAGACATTACACCAGTGTTAACTTAAGGAACCTCATGGGCTCTGGAGAAGGAATGCCCAGTAGAAGAACAAGCGAACAATTTGAGGAACTTTTACATTGTGTTATCTTTTGATGTTTCCCATGCTCTGTTCTAGATCTTAAAGATCTTAGAGAAGTTCCCTAAAAGAATTAAGGGTAACATTGTAGGACATAGCTGCTGCTTAAAATTATTACAGAGTATTTGTTAATTTCTTTATATTATCTTTAAGTGTTTTCTACCATACAAAGACTTGAATAGTTGAAATTATTTTAAAAAGTCTCTTGTTTGTTTAATCTTTGTTTACACATAGATAAACTGAAATCTGTAAAGTCAAGTTACAACTCTAGCTCCATCTAGGAAACATACTGCTTCCTTTTCTATACAAATAGCATCACTTTTTAATCTTCTGTGTGCTTTTTTAGACAGATACCCTAAATTTGTTCATACTCATAAATAATAGTAAACATAGAATATTAACAGGTTGTTCTAAGTCTCAGTAAAATAGAGGTTAAAGGCATTATTTGTACTAAAATATTTAATCATATTTCCAAATACAGAGTTTGCCTATTTTGTCTACTTCCACAAAAATTAACCTACTAGAAAGTAATGCTTTTATTTTTTTTTTAGTTGTTAATTGGAGAAAGCCGCTATAGATTCAGATATATGCATAAATATTCTTCAGATATTCTTTGAATAAGAACCTTCATGCAGAATGTTAAAACTTAATGACCATTCTGATCTGTCCTGCACATTTGTTGGATTAACATCCATTTCAACCATAGCAAAAGTGTATGAATTATTTATTTCCCATATTGCTCTGATCCATAACAATTTGCCAATGATTTTTTCATAGTTGGTTTTATAAAATTCAGTTTATTACTTTGCGTTTATGTCATATCTCTAATGAGAAAGAAATTATTTATAATAGCATGCATTGGTATATTAATTTCTTTGAATTAAGAAGTAGTGCTATTTCCACTGGGGAGAGAAACTGAATTGCTGTGTCATTCACACTATAAATGGTATTTTTTTAATTTAGAGAGATTAATAATCTAAATAAATATTTTTAGGTAATCATTGGGGTTTTTCTGTTAAAAATACTGTAGGAGTATGAAAACAAGTGAGGCTGATTCCATAGGCAAGCAGATAGAATAGAAATAGATGTTATTCTGGAGTATTTTAAAATAGAAAATAGTAAAGCTCTGTTTATGTTCCTTCACTTGGTTATTCCTTCGTCATTTAGTCTAATTGATAGAAATGAAAACAGAACATGTTGGCAGACCTACATTGCTTATTTTTATAGAACTGTTTGTGGTCAACCACATACTCATTCTTTGAGCATTTTCAGTACTAAGAAAGGGCAAACTGAGATTCCAGACCTCAAGAATTTTACAGTAGAGTCAAAGTTAGTCCCACTAAGATAATGAATGCCTCAGAGACTTAATTCTTTCTATGTAATTTCAAACCAGAATCTGTTACTGAAAATGATGTTGTACTTGTTGGTACCTCTGAGTGTATGGAGGGATCTGTGACAGAAAGAGGAATTTTTTTTTATGAAAGATAAATGTAAAATGCCATTTGCTCATTTCTTCTCCTCTTCAATAAGCCAGAAATTCTCTCTCTCTCATTGCCGTGGAGTTGGAACTGATACATAGGAAACCCTCCGTCGGGTTTTTTTACAGGCTATAAATCTCAAAGGAGGAGATTGCCCATCTTTCTCCCAAAGCTGGTGAATTCAAACCTCCTGCCTTTGGGTTGGCAGTGCAGCTCCTTGCCCATTGGATCACTAGAGCTGTCTAAAAACTGGATAAATTATGTATTGAAACAGATGAGGGAGAGAATAATTTAACAGCGATATATGATAGGGTATTATGGTTATCACAAGAGTCCAGAATTAAGGGTGCATAGTGGAGTGTACCTGGGGCGGTAGGAGGGGTGCAGGGGGGATTGTATACCAAAGAAAGAATTTTTCTTTTACTTTTTCAAAGAGAGGAGCAAACTGGGGCGGGGAGGGGGGAGGGCTGGGTAGGGAGAAAAGTGCAACAATGAATGAATGGAAATCCAAAATATCTGTAAATGTTCATTAAAATTATTGAAATAAAATTTAAAAAAAACCCAACAGTGATCAGCTACTTAAAAAAAAAAAAAAGAAGAAGAAGAAGGTATACCTGTATTTTCCCAAAAAGTAGATCATCTTTAAGCTGAGGGTCTGTTTATTACTGAGCCCTAATTTTCCCTTGGTGGTTGCCATTTTCTCTCTCTTATGGAAATGCACCCTCCAGAGCATTTGGCAGAGCCTCAGCGCCTGCACTGCCAGGGCAGGGATGGGGACTGCGTTCCTCATGTGCAGGCATCACCACTGTTATGACACAACGGTCAGCCCACAGGTTTTTTCAGTAACTTACCTGCAAAGCTTTTGCGTTCTTTCATCTTGAGAATATTATTGCAGTGCACACCTTGCAGTGGTACTTTTTGCTAGATTCTGTGGTACAGAGGAGGATAGTGAGAGAACAGTACAAACAGACTCATGCTATATACAGAAAGTTCATCTTACTGTTTTTCCAAGGTCTCCACATTAACAAATCACATCACTTAGATTTTTCACTTCCCCTACTTCTGAAGTTTGTGTTTATTTGGGTATAATTTATTTTCAAAGAAACCAGATGCATTGTTGAACAAGAATTATTAGATATGCAGCAGTCCACTTAATGATATGGAGGTTCAGGTACTTGCTTCTACATACCGAATGTGAAATGGACATGGGGTATTTGTCCCTCTTGAGGATGGGGAGGCCTCTTCTAGAAAGTACTTAGAAGTGCAATGTTGGTTTTGCTTTAAAACACGAATAGCTATAAAAGACACTCTGTTAAAAGGATAATATTGTACTTACTGACAGAACTCTCCTGAATTTGGTCTTTTTATTCTGACTGTGTTAGAAAATGGCCTTATCTGTGGAAATGTTTAAGAGTAACAAGAGAGAGGTGCTGTCTGCACCCTGTATCTTATTTCAGTTATGTTCCAGGGATAAATGAAAGCTAATTGGTAAGATGTTGATTATGGTTGAAGCTGTATGGAGTTGCTTATAGCTCAGGAGGCTACTCTCTCAAATTTACATATGTTACAAATTTTCAAAATAAAATGTTACAAATTACTCTTATTCCATGAGCTTTATTGTGAATAATTGAAACTGAATGTTAAACTGTACATTGACAGACTTGACTGTAATTTGATTTATTTGGAAATTTTAGACTTGTTTACTTTTCATGTGGAATCTCTTTCCTCAAAAAACGCTAAGGCCATTTCTTTATCTTTCATAGAGTAAAAAGAAGAAAAAAACGGATTTTATTCCATACCGGGATTCTGTACTCACTTGGCTCCTTCGGGAGAATCTAGGTAAGTTACTTTGACCTAATCACTGCCAAAAATTTACTTTACACTTATCTTTTAAAATGTGTTTACCAGTTCTCTTTTGTGGTTAATAGTTTATATATGTCTTCATTTAGAAAAGGTTAATCTCTAGATCTTTCTGTTAAGTGTTTTATTTCTTGTTTTCATTTTTATTCTTGATTTAAACAAGTTGGACTAATATACCTTTATATCTGATTTTGTCTTAATATCTTCTCTGCTTGAAGGTGTGAGTTGTGGGATGGTTGTACTCCTATTCCTAGTCCTCCACTCCTATTCCTCCCTCTTTGAAAACCCTGTGCTCCTTTGAGGTGCACATAGTTGGGTTCCTTTCCTCCTCCTCATCGACAGTTTTGGTCTTTAAGCTCACTGTCCTTCATTGACTGTTCCTTTAGCCTCTTACTTTTTCATGAGGAGGAGGAAGGGTGTTCATCTGTCGCTAAAGGAACAGACTGAGAATGGACTCTAGGGCTTATTAGCATCAGCAGTGACTTCCTTAGAGCAGTGTGATGGACTGGCAGTGCTGAAATCTTGATTGTGGTGGATTCAAGAGGGAGGAAAATTGGACATAGTAAATCTAGACATCAAAATTTGAGTAGAAGAGTGTCTAAATACATTCTTGTTGACTTTTACTAAATCTAAGATTGAAGGCTATACTGTCGGCTTTGACACATTGATTAAGAGTCCAGTGTCTAAAATGAGTGATTTGAGATAGCTGTGATCTGTGTTTTCAGGTGGCAATTCTCGGACTGCCATGGTTGCTGCTCTGAGCCCAGCAGATATCAACTACGATGAAACCTTGAGCACGCTGAGGTACTCTTAACGTGCTCTTAATAGCCATAGCGAGCACAGTGCTGCCATAGGCCATGTTGTTAGCTGTGATTTTTTTTTTTATACTGTATGGGTAGTTGTTTATATAGATAAATGGTTGTTCCCTTTCGTAATATGGAAAATATGAGAAAGAAAATATTTCCACCATAATAGAATTTGTTTTTATGATCTTCAGCTTCACAGCGGGAAAGGCAGAAACTTTTCAAACATAGAAAATAAGTTTGAATTGCTCAAGTCAGATTTTGGATAATTAGGTAATAAAATCTAGTTGCCTATCCTAGTCATGTCTATAAATTGTATTCCCTGCTTATAAATATTTGTCATTATAGAAATGCTCAAGTAGTAAAAAGTAATTCCGTTATGAATACATGTAGCATTAAAAAAATTACTGGCAAGAATGTTCCTTAATGAAATGATTTTATATATGAATTATTTTAATCTAAAACTTTACACTCTTCTCTTGTGAAAGGCTGTTTTGATATAATGAGGTTGAATGATCTTGAGCAAAACACTTAAATTCATCTGGGCTTTTCCCCTCTCATTCGTTGTAAGGTAGTTTACCTTCATAACAAATAAAATATTTTCAAGTCTCAGAAAGCCCGCAAATACTCAAGATGGTTGATTTAGATTTAATGGTCTATTACTTAGGAGGAGCAGAGCATGTGAGGAACAACAAAAAGGAATTTTCTTTTTTTTCTGTCTAGATACGCTGATCGTGCAAAACAAATTAAATGTAATGCTGTTATCAATGAGGACCCCAATGCCAAACTGGTTCGTGAATTAAAGGAGGAGGTGACGCGGCTGAAGGACCTTCTTCGTGCTCAGGGGCTAGGAGATATTATTGATAGTAAGTGGATTAAGCATCAACAGAAGATATAATCCTTTCCTTTTCAGAGTTCTTATATTTAAAAGAAACTTAAGAACTTTAAGGCTCCAGTGAAGCAAGATGATAGTGAAAGATTTTTTTCTTTTTTAAAAAAGAAAAGTACACTGAAAATGTTCATTCATATCTGTCAGGCTACTAATTGAACTTAAAACAAGAATCTATAATTACTTGGAATTTTACTAGGATTCTATTTTTGATCACTAATGATGTTTATTTAGGATTAAACTTACTGAGAAATTGATCATTTCAGAAAAATACTACTTGAAATTTTTATTTTGTGTCATGGCTTTCTCTGGATTAATGTAGTAGTAGTACAACATAAAAGAGGCCTACCATTTCATTTTACTTTCAAGTAAGAGTCCTCTTTATTAGCCATCTCCCTCACAAAATTATTGAATGCCTGCTTTTCTATAACCATATATAGATGGGAGAAGCCTGGTTCCTAACAAGTTCAAGAATTAGGCTTGCAGGGAATGCTGTTTTACAACATTGCCCTAAAATGGCAAATTTTTTTTAACCTCAGTGATCAGCCTATATAATGTCTAATACAGAGGAACGACTTCCTAAATGAGTAAACAGATTATTCATATAGACTAGAATATGGTAGAATTTGAGATTATATAATAAAGCCTATTTTTAAGAAAATTTATGTATAAAATTAAGACTTGTGTTCTTAGAACTCGTAAGATTTTGAGACCTCTTCTCGGTGAGTTCCTAAGTTTATGTAATTATAGTCTGTAAAAATGGTAATATATTCCAAGTTGAAGTTTTCATTTTTCCAAATGCCAAATACTGCTCTGTGCCCTGTCTGTGTCACTGCTAAACCTGAACTTTGACCCTTCTTATATTTTTCCCTTCTGCTTCCCTTCAGTTGATCCATTGATCGATGATTACTCTGGAAGTGGAGGCAAATGTGTGTATTTCATGTATTGGTTTATTTCCAGTACTCTGACTTGCTAATCTGCCTCTGCTGGATCAGCTTTAAAATGAGCTTTGCATGCCAGCATTCTAACAGGGAAATCCCAGACAGAGCATCCTGTAGAGTTAAAACTTAGGCCTTTTTTTGCCCTTTTCTATTTAGCAAAGCACTCTCTGCTAAATTTTGGCTCATGCCTTGAATAAAGCCCAGAAACTTAAGAATTTCTTGCTTTCTCTCCTCTCCAATTTTCCTCTGGTATGATTAAACTAAATGCAGTCATTGATGATAATATTGATGGTGATGATGATAGCAGCTTTACTGAACATTTGCAGTCTACTAGACTTGTTTCAACACACCTTAATCATCTCATTTAATCCTTTTCAGTGACCCTGAAAAAGTTGTTCTTTTGTAATTATACCAGTGAGGACACTGTGGCCTAGACTGATTACTTCACATTCCATGATTTCTACATGGTTGGGTTAGAAAATTTAGCTAAAAACATTAATTCCTTATTACACCCTAAAACCTTTTTAAAAAAAAAAATTTTTTTTATTTCCTTCAGAGACTGATTCTTTTCTGTTAACGTTGTAGATGTATATAACTAAGTTATATGTTAGTTGTAATATGTAATTAAAAGCAGCCACTCTACATCTACCAAGATGATGTGGCCCTTTACATATTGGGTTAGTACTCACTTGTGCTTATGCTGCTGTCTTGTGTTCTTCCATATGTTGGGCCTCAGCTTACTTAGACATTTTTTCTTCTTAATAAATTGCAAATGGATTTTTAAAAAAGTTTTCTAGAGGTGTGCTTGAAATTCGGTACCTTTTATAAAGGATCATACATTATTAAGTCTTTTCCCCTGTATCATTAAATTTGTGAGAAAATAATTTTTTGCCTTTTTAAAATAACTTCTTAGATTATTATGAGAGCATTATTACCTAAGAGGGAATTAAGATACTGATTTTATATATGTGTGTGTGTGTGTGTGAAGTTTTAGATTTTGTTTGTTTTCATAGTAAGGCATATAATATGGTTTGGCAGGTAATGAAGAAATACACAAGGAAGCCAAACATAGGCCTGGGTGCTATTGATGAGGATCAGTCCCAGTGGCAGTTTAATAGCCAAAAACAGAAGTGGCTCTTGTACTGGAACAGCTCTGTCTGAGATTTCCAAAGCAGAACGATACTGGTGTGGAAAAGATGTCATCTTATTCTTGCTTTTGTGCTCAAGGTGTTGCCGCTATCAGCTTGTTGCCTAAATTTTCTGAGCAGCTGTGATAATCCCCCCTCAAAAAAAATGCATGATGAAGTTTCAATTCTGTATCTGTCAAGAAAACAGCCCTGACTAGTTTTGAATACCCATGCGAACTACTACTCTCTTTAGGATTTGCATGTGTCCATTGGACCGTCTAAATGCCATCTGTCCTATTCTGTCCTACCTGACTGCCATCACCTGGTGGCTAATTTTTTTGCTCCAGACCCTGACCCCTTTTAAAAACATGCCTCTTTGCTTGTTTTCCTGTGTTCTGTATTTGCAGATGGTGGTTTTCAAACTGTCTTGAAGCAACCACTGATTTTAAGGGGTTTCTAAAACTCTCTTTGATTAAATAATAGAGATGAACAGACACAAAGATTATTTGTACTGCTCATATTCCATCCTAGAAGGAATTTTTAGTTTTGATAGAAATAATACTTAGTTTTGATAAGAATTTTAAGCAATATCAGTTTTCCTCAAATTTAAAAACGAGCTGATTTCAAAATAGGAATGCATCAATATTTAATAGGTTTCCTCTGGTCCTCATTTAAAAAGGATGACCAGTGAAAGAAAGTACGTTACGTGGAGCAAGTTAATGAAATTTTTTTTTGTTTGTGGTTATTTTTACCAAAAGTAAATTTAAAAGTGAAACTTAGATATTTATTAGATACTTTACTATATGTAATTATATCCCTAAAACTTTCATTTTGTCAAAAGAGTCAAGTTTGCTAATGACTCTTGGACATACTGTTGCAACTTACTTAAATTACTAAATAGAAAAAAAATTACTAAATAGCCATGAATTTTGCTTGTTTTCATAGATGAAACTATACCAAAATTCATTAATTTGCCTATAATTTTTTTCTATTTAAGTAACTAGTTGGCCCTGACTTAATATAAAAGTTCTGTCGTTTCTGCAGATACCTCTCCGTTTTATTGAGGATATATTTAAAACTTCTTTGCCAGGTGTGATTTGACTATACAAAGGACACTATATTCACTTTTACTGAAGACATGTTCATAACATTCTTCACATTTGAAATGTTTCTATATGATACTGAGTGTTCAAAATTTTGTTTAACTTTAATATTTTCTTGGAAATTTTTCCTGAATATAATGAAAAGCTCTGTACCTGACTGTTAAAGATTAGTCTTAATTTAAAAAAAATGATCATGTATTCCCCGCCCCCCGACCTGGCCCCCTGCCATTACAGACAATTGAAATGTATGACTAGTAGCAATCTAAAAACTATGTACACTTGGAGTGGTAGAAGGATTGTAGTGTGGTCACTTAGAGTCTCTAGGCAGTATCCTTGTAGGCTCCAGCTACACAATCATTAACATCATGTCAGACAGCATGTTAACCTAAATTGGAGTTGTTTTGGTTTCTAAATTCAAGAGTGGTTCTTTTAGGATACCGATATTAAATAAAGACATGTTTTAGAACTGCCATCTTGAACAGTGACACCTCGTCTTTGTATTATAACGTGTCTTTGTCTTGGCGCTTTATTGCTATTCTTTCTTACACTGGTGTTCCTTCCTGTCTTTTTTTCCTTTCTCTGCTCCTTTCCCTCTTCCTTTTCTGCTTTTCTTTCTATCTCCCAGATCTGAAAGATTTTCAGAACAATAAACATAGGTACTTGCTAGCCTCTGAGAATCAACGCCCTGGCAATTTTTCCACAGCATCCATTGGGTCTCTTACTTCATCTCCATCTTCCTGCTCACTCAATAGTCAGGTGGGCTTAACATCTGTGACCAGTATTCAGGAGAGGATCATGTCTACACCTGGAGGAGAAGAAGCCATTGAGCGGCTAAAGGTAAGCAAGCAATCCTATTGAATATAAGGTCTTCTTGTATCGTCAGAAGGCAAAACTAGGGCTGAAAACTCCCCTAGATTTGACTCAGCCTGTGGAAGAGCTTTCAAACTCCTTAAGTTTTCCTGAAAATGGAATTTACTATTGTAAAATAGTGAATTTCTTCTCATGAGAGTGCTTGATGTCTGATGTGCCCAGGCAGAGACGAGGGAGATGAATGGACAGCTTATAGGCTAGCCTTGCAAATAGTTGAGGAGTAGATAAGCTCATAATTCTAGGATCCTTTAGTTGGGAATTAAATAATTAGTTGGAAACATTTCATTTAATTTGAGTTTGGAATTTGGTACAGGGCTATTTTAATTTTATTAAAAGATACAATTAAAAGAAAGCCTAAACATTTTATTTGTTTTAGGTTCGTTCAGATACATTTGAAATTGTATTTCTGGAAGTTCGTAGGAAGCCTGGGGACCCTGTGATTCTTGCATTGTCTTTCTGCTGACTCAGATGGGGTCACTGGGCCATCACGCTCTGCTCTGAGAGGGCCATGCATAGCTGGCTTCACGGTTGGAGGTTTTCCCCAGCCTGTGGCTGGTTCTCTTGGGTACTATTTTGTCTCCTCTCCATGAATATGAAATTTATTTTCTCTCAACACCGAAGAGGGCAGACAGTTCTTACCTACAGTACAGAGAAGCTACCATGTCATCAGGTGACTATGATCCAATCAGCTGCTTTAAAACAAATACTTTTCCTACTTGGCACCCACCCAGATAGCTGATCCTTATCTTTGATTTTTGTGTCCAAGAGTGCTGGGGAAGGGGAAGCAAGGGACAGAGACACTTTTCAGAGGGCTGGGAAGTTGCAGCCACACTGCCAGCAAAGTAGTCCTCTTCACTCCGCATTCTCCACGCATGGACAGGGGAGAGCAGTGACCCACTTTGACAGATTAGTGATTGGAAAGGCACGCTGAATCTTTTCACTACAAAAAATGAATTAAGCTTGTAATTGAAGATGTTAGATGCTTTCATGTGGGTGTTCACATGAAGCTGAAAAGGATTTTATGTGAGAAATAGACTTATGCTTTTTCTTTCCTGTTTCTTTCCTTCCCTCAGTCTGACTTTTCCCTTGGCATTTTGTTAAAGTCCAAATGATAACGGTTTGGAAACCAAAATGATTCATTTGCTTCCTCTTCCAGACAGTGTTAGTGGGAATTGGCTGAAGTTCTTAGTGGGCATAAGAAGGAAGGTAAGGAGGGAGGGAGGGGGAGAGAAAGTGTGCGAGTATGTGCACGGTGATCAAATACAACAGAGTCAGTGTAGGGAAATTGACTGTAGGAGAAGAAAGGGGTACTGGTGGAGAGAAGTGTGTTAAATGTTTGCCTCCTAACTGAAGCATTAGGTGTTCAAATCCACCAGCCACTCAAAGAGTGAAAGATGGCACCTCCCCTCATAAAGATTTATAGTCTCAAACTCCATAGAGTTGGAATCACCCTGGGGGCCCACTGCCTTCATGCTTTAGGTAGAAGGAAAAGTGAAGTCTTCCCCTTACTACCTGACATGAAATGTTCTTTCTGTTTGGGGATTTTTAATCTTATATTATTAAAGAGGTTGGTTGGTTGGGTTTTTTTTTTTCTTTTTACTATTTAAATAAAATTACACCTGTCTTTGATATACAATTTGGTGTAAAATAGAAAATTCTTGCTAACTTCCAGAGGAAACCCACTAAAAAGATAGAAGACAAAGCCATTAGCCAGATTCTCTTAAGAATTAGGTCACCCAGTGTCTTACAGATAGTTTCTAGAGAATAATACTCTATTCAGGAAGCCTTCTCCACTCCCTTTTTCTACTACCACTCTTCCCTTCTCAGGAAACTCCCTGTCTTAACGTTTTTTAGTAACCACTAATCAGAAAATAAATTCTTCTATTTGAGCTTTTCTTTAAGCAGCATAAACCTTCCCTTTCCCCCAGCTGCCTTCCAGAAACCACTTCTTCCTAGTTTTGTATGCCATCCTGAGTTCTCAATGCACTACGGTTGTTCACTGAAGCATAAATGCCTTAGTCCTGCTCTAATTTTGTGAATGGTAAAATTTCCATTTGGACAGAGCTCCTGCATTTTAATACTGCACGCAGCTAGCATCTTGCTCCCACAGTGCAAAGCCAAGGTTATCCAATAGAATATTTCTGATCTTTGGATGATTTAGTTGTTTTTTTCTAATAAAATTTTTATTTTATACTGCTTTACTTACAAAGTTTGTATACATTGTTTTTCACACCAGACCTTTCCCATTTCCTTTACCCACCTCTCCCTCTACTCATCAAATTGTGCAACCCTATGATTATTCCCCTGCATCCTCACCCCTTGCTCCTACCCTTCCCCCTTGGACCCTCATACACATTTTACTGGTTATCTGTTTCTATAATAATGGTCTTATACAGTGCTTGTTCTTATGGGACAGAGTTAGTTTACTCAGCCTAGTGCTCTAGAGTTCCTCTCAAGTTAGGTAGTGATTTTCAAAATCACTGAGCCTGCATGCTATGTAGTAGTATTCCATCTGTGACTGTACGATAATTTCTCAGTCCATTTGATTGTGGCTGCTATAAGCATTGGTGTATGGACGGTTTAGTTTTTCCGAGTGTAGGAGTTGCATTTCAGAGATCCCACTGCAGAAGAAAAATATTGTAAAAAGAAACAATAGAAGTTAATTAATTTTCTAGTCTTTTAGTTTTTCTCTTTATTTCTCTTTATGTTTACTTTGGGGAAAACCCTGAACTATTAGTAGGTAGATGACTTCTTTTCTCATAAGGGAATTCTACTGAATAGGCCATTTTCATATATAAGAGACCAAGTTAGACAGTCACAAATATTTTGAGCTCCCTACAAACCTCTGAGTTTTAGTCACCACTCAAACTGAGATGAAATGTATGTGCAATCCCTTAATTTGTGAATTCCTGTCCAATAATGTTTTAAATATGCAGCTATAGCCGCAGTTTGGTATCTTTGGCATCAGTCATCTGAGTGTATCTGCTTAGGCTCATACTCTGCCTTTTCACTCCATCCTTCACAGAAGCAGAGGAGCCCCAGTGTTGTGCCAGGCCCCATCAGAACTCACTCATCATGCATACTGTGTTCAGTACAGTAAAACCTCTGCTGATTATATAAGGAAGGTTCTGTGTGTAGTAAATCCCTAACCTTTTCAATATCGTATCACAGTGTGAACTTTTTTAAAAATGGAAATTATTCTTACTTACCCCCTAGATTTCACTACCTCTTTAACTGAATCATCAAGACAAGATTTAACTGTGCTTAACCATTTAGACACTTCACCAAAGAAGACATTCAGATGGCTAACAAGCACAAGAAGAAATGTTCAAAATCCTTAGCTCTAAGAGAGATGCAGAGATATCATCTCACACCAGTCAGAATAGCAAAATTTAACAGAACAGCAAGTAACAAATGCTGGCGAGGTTGTGGAGTAACTGGAACCCTTATTCACTGTTGGTGGGCGTGTAAAATGGTGCAACCACTGTAGAAGGTGGTATGACACTTTCTCAGAAATTGCAAATAGAGGTACTATTTGACCCAGCAATCCCACTACTGGGAATATACCCCCAAAGAGACCATAACTTCATATCCAAGCACAACCATGTTTATTGCAGCTTTGTTCACAATAACAAGGAGTTGGGAAAAGCCTAAGTGCCCATCAACAAATGAAATGGATAGAGAAGCTGTGGTATATTCACACAGTGGAATACTATGCTGCATTGAAAAACAAGGAACTCATGCAATATTATTCAAAATGGGTGACTCTCGAGGACATTATGCTGAGTGAAGTATCTCAGTCACAGAAGGACAAATACTGCATGGTGCCACTGTTCTAAAACAGGACTGACCTTGGGGTTAGGGGAAGACTGAGAAAGATGGGTTCAATAATGTATACTGCATTGAAACAGATGAGGGAGAAAACTGTTTAAAAGGGATGTGTGATTAGCTATTTTTGTCATGACAGGAGTCTAGAGTGAAGGCTACATGGTGGAGTGGACCTGGGGGAGGGTTTGTAAAACAATGAAAGAATTTTACTTTTCTAAGAGGGTAGTGTACTAGGGGGAAGGGTTGGGAAGGGAGTAAAGTGCAACGATAAATGAATGGAAATCCAAAGTCTCTGTAAATTTTTACTGTAATTAATAAATTTAAATTTAAAAAAGAAAAAAATAATGGAATTTAATAGCCAGAGATATATACATATAGCTAGAGATGCAGACAGATATGATGTGAGACCAGAGAGTGAATGATGACTCAGCCCAGAATAACTGGGACTTAAAAATGATTTCTTGATTTTAATTCTTTATTATTTTTTAAGAATCTCTTGTTTGTTTTTAAGTATAGATGCATGAGTCCTCATTCCGGTTTCCTCTTACTGGCCTTTCAGAGTGGGTTACTAGTGCTTCCTTTTTTACCCTTGAACTTCAGCATGTGATGCCTGCCTACATCTATTTTATTTCTAAGTCTGTTACTCTGGCTGTAAGAAATAGCTCTTCATATTTTCCTTATTAGTGAGCTGTTTACTTTCAAGGTGCCCTGGTGGAGGGAGGAGTAGTCCCTTCGGGAGTTGCTCTGCTAACCCAGAGGCAGCACCTCTCTGGAGGTTCAAATTCACCAATTAAACCATAGATGAAATATGAACAGTTTCCCCCATGCTGTGTAGATCTTCTGAGAGCCCCCTGGAAGGGCAGCTAGGAATTGGTTACACAAATGCCTGCACTGAGCTTTTGTTGTGACCCTCAGTTGTTAGTTGTTCTATAGCTTTCCCTTTCTTCAGAGGTTTCTTTAAATAGCTGTCTAGATTATGTAAAAAAATTGCCTCTTTAGCTTTAAGAAGAAGTAGAAGTCAGCTGCAGCGCCTCACTCATTTCACTCTCTTAACCCCAGAGTTTATATTTTGATTTACTGTCTGGGTCACAAGTACATTTAGAGAGGCCACATTAGAGTTGGTCTCACTGTGTTAAAAGGATTTCTCTAGTTTCTGGCTATAGCAACTTTGCTTTCTTAAAATGAGTTTCACAGATGCCCCAAAATAGGATAACTTTGATATGTCCAGATTAACCTCTGCTTTCAAATTATCTTTTTCCTAAAGATAAATAACCAGGGGGTGGGAAATAGAAATATATGTATATAAAATAAATAATGATTTTGTAGGTCCATTTTTACTCTGTAGATAAATGAAAGTTTTTGTGGCTCACACTGTAATCAATGTTAGGCTGGGGGGTCTGGCTTGGTCAGGTGCATTCTGTTGTCCTGTTCTTTTGTTCTCCGAGTGATCCCATTGAAACTGTGATGGATTCTCTCCAGTTGTTTTTAATGAGGCTTTAGCCATATAGGTTATACTGCCAGTTTGGTCTTATGCATACTTACTTTTTTATAGTAATATGCAGGAGCATTTAATCCTTCTCTGTTGCAGTTGTGAAATGACTTGTGGCATACTTTTTAGATGCACTTGGCACCAAGAGCACTTACTCTTTGGACCTTCTGGCTCCTTCCTCAGATTGTTTGCATTGTTCGGTTCTGCTCTTCAGTATGGCTGTGTGCTTTGGAGCAGCACACACTGCATACTAAGTGTTCTCTGTGAGGGCTGCTCTGTGTACAGATGCCAGTCACGGAGCTGCTTCAGCTCTTGGATGTGGCTGAGAACCAATGAGGACCAACTTGGGTGTTTTACCCACTCCCACTCCTGTTACAGACTATTTCCTCTTGCCTCTTTGAAAAAGGTGCCTTGTCTGTGGCCACCTCAGGCTTCTATTGACCTCACTCATGCCAGTGCCAGGTCCAACTTTTATCACATTTGCTCTTTGGACTTGCTGGTTTTTCTATTTTCCTTCGCCTTTTCTGTCTTGCTTTCATTTTTTTCCTAACTCTTGCTCTTGTAGCTTTTGCCTTTTATTCTAGGCTTTTAAAAATGTTCTCTTGCTTTTGATATGTTGTTTTTTGGTTTGTTTTTGTTTTTGCTGTGTACCTTCGAATTGAATCAGACTGGCACAGGAGGAGATTGCCCCTTCATCTCCAGCAGGGCATCTGGTGGATTTGAACCATGTGCCTTTGGGATTGCAGTGCACCTTCTTGCCACAAGGCTACCAGAGCTGCTTTATTACTATTATTGTGTGATAAACAAATATAGAATTGTTTTGAAAACCTGAAAATTCCAGAAAATCAAATGCCATACACTTTACACTTAATTATATTACATTATTCACATTTTTCTGTGTATATAATTATTTTGGAATCACAGAGGCTTTTAATAGTAGTAGCCTTTTCAATGAAACATACATAATAATATTAATACATAATAATATTTTCATTATAAGACTTTGTCTATAATCCCTCCTACTGCTACCATCACTGCTATTCTCGTCACTATCGTCAGTCACCATCATCAGATTTTTCTACTTTTGTCTCCAGTACTAACATTTTCTCCTACTTTTTCATTTGCTCATCTCCCTTATTGTGCTCACTCCCCTCTGTTCTCCTCACTTCCTCCTTGTCCTCCACTCATCTGTCTGGACATCATTTACCTCTGAGAAACCCATCATGGCCCACCTACCTCCCAGCAACCTGTGACTGTCTTGCTTCCAGCATGTAACACACTGTTCTTTTGCCGTTTCCTGCCATACTTATTCATAGTCCTCACCCAGACTCCACTGGCCACAAGACTTGTTTTGGAAAATGCTGTATACTTTCTCCTCCTAGTTCCTCCCATACCCAGGGGAGCTCCCACTCTTCCTCTGTCTTTGCTCACATATGACCTTGCCTTTGACACCAATCCTGAGAGCCCCATTTGTGACAGTTCATCCGTTTCCCCGTCTATCTGCATTCTCTCTCCCCATCTTTGATATTTTTATTCCGAAGTCATTATCATTGTCTGACATGCTGTTGTTGTTTGCTGTTAAGTGCCATTGAGTCACCTGCAATTCATAATGACCCTAGTTACAACATTCTGAATCTTGCCCTATCCTTAGTCAGTCTCTCTGACTCTGATATACCTACCCCCCATTACCAAGTCAGTTCATCTCATCTGGGGTCTTTGTCTCCTGTGCTGTCCCTCCACCCTTCCAAGCATGATGTCCTTCTCCATTGACTGGTCTCTCCTGGCCATGTGCCCAAAGTATATGAGATGGAGCTTCAAAATCTTAGCCTCCAAGGAGAAACCTGTTTTTACCTTCTCCAAGACAGATTTGTTTTGTTCTCTTGGCATCTTACATGCTACATACTTGAATTACTAGTTGGAATGGATTTTTTTGGCTCTTTACTATAATGGAAGCTTTATTATAAAGGCAAGGATTTTGTTCGCTAACACATCTTTAGTTTCCTAGAGTAAGGTTTGGGATTTAATGGAGACAGATAAATTATCAGATGGAATTGATCAGCAATTACTTCTTTCTATCCTGAGTGCAGAGAAACTTTTCATTCCTATATTTCATTCATATAATATGCACTCAGTATGTGATTAGTAATTTGCCATTTGAGTGGCTACCTTCCTTTGGATGAGATTTAATACTAAATTTTTCTCTTATTAGTGTTGAACTGTATTCAGGAGGATGTGGTGTTAATGGTGAAATCAAAGTGATGGTTGCTTTGGGAGATTATATTCTATTTATAGAAATGTTAGGAAAAGTACCTTTCATATATTAACCTTCCCTCTTCATTCATACACACAGACTGACACATGTACACACAGTATTAAAATATTTTTATAAGGATTTTAAAGGATTTATATATACCAATCTTAGTCTGGAACTGATTTAATCTCTGGCCTAGATACTATGATTCTTTCTTTACGTATTAAAAAAGAAAGAAAAACTTGATCACATTACACCTTTGTCATATATTTACAGAACAAAATGTTTCTCGTTGCCCTTTATAGGCATGATCTATTAAATTATAACACTCTTCGCCACCCTAACTGTGGACTTCCCTCTCCTAGGAATCAGAGAAGATCATAGCTGAGCTGAATGAGACCTGGGAAGAGAAACTGCGTAAAACAGAGGCCATCAGAATGGAAAGGTCAGAAGTTTAAAATCTGGGAATGTTTTCTTAATTTTATAGAGAATTTGAATTACTTTTATACTAAAAAAGAAATAGCAAAAATGAAAAATAGTGCCTTCTGCTCTCCCCATCTCTCAACCCAGCCCCCCCAAAAAGTTGACATTTGGCTAGTAGAATTTATGCTTTAAAGTGAATTCTACAAAGTTAAAAGTTCTCTATGGAATAGAGAGTAATAAAACAGTTACCATGGTACATATTGTGCTAGGGGTTTGTCTAAAAACTGAAAATCCTGAGAGTGAGAGTTTACATCTGCAAAAGACTACTTTGATAATGGCCTAAATCCAAAAGGCTGTTCTGATTATTGGCCCTCAGAGTCATCTTTTCCAGAAACTCTTTGAAGTGATAAAGTAGTTTAGACTGTACACTTCTTTCAGTTCTCTGCACTGAAGGTTAGCATCACCCTAGAGAATACTTTTCTAAAAGTATTTAGAGTTTCTGGTGGGCTAGGGGAGGGAGAAGAAAGGAGGAGGAGAAAAATGTGTGACAATGAATAAATAAAAGAAAAAAATTTAAGCATTTTAGTATTTTTAAAAGGAATAAATCTACCTATAAAAATGTCAGTTCTTCCTTCTCCTTTTTGAGAAATGAGACAGATTTACGTTCTTAGCTATTAATACAGTAAATATATCTATTTTCTTGTTTTATAAAAGCAATTTTGTATTCTAACAGTTTTAAGCTAGAATTTTGGAAACATAATGATAATGGCTTTGGGAACATTTGAGAAAGTCATATATTTATAGACCTTTCTCCATGAACCAAAGTTACTTTCTGATCACTTTCTTAGATTCAGAAGAAACTATTTTTTTAGTTAAATGCTTTCAGGAGTCTTCTCTAATATTAATAGACAAATTATTCATTAATTGTTATTTACTACCAAAATCAAATGAGAAAGAATTCTTATTTGGGTAAAATATAAGCATTGCTCAATTAATTTCAACTGTAATATATCACAAAAAAAGTGCTCTTTGACAATGCAGTAAGTGGATTAATTCACATTTATATTACTAAGTTAAGGTTGTTTTCTTTTGCGTGCTTTCTTTTCAATTCCTACTAGATGGACTTATGAAATGGGGTTATTTGTGTGCTGATGGGTGCTGGGTGATACAAAATGTTCAATGCTAGACTGCTATCCAAAAGTTAGTGGTTTGGACCCCTACTAGGGTGTCTTTTAAGTAAAGCCTGGTGAGCTTAAAAAATCGCAGCCTTAAATCCTATTGAGCCCATTTCTCTCTGCACACACTGGAATCCACTGATGGATTCATTATTTCCCCCCCCACACACCCCCAGGGAGGCCCTGTTAGCTGAGATGGGAGTTGCCATTCGAGAAGATGGAGGAACCCTGGGGGTCTTCTCACCTAAAAAGGTAGGAAATGGTGTTGTGAGACTCTATTGTCTTGGTCACAATGGCACTTTATGTCTTTGTTCCCCTACTTTTCCTTGTTCTTAATCTTGAGGTTTGGCTTAATTTCTAATTTCATTTCACTATATAACCTGGCAGCCTGTTTCTAAAGTATCTCATATTTAATCTTTAAAAAAATAAAAATCTGAGGCAATAAATCAGTTACCTTTGGACTGTGTGTAGTATGTTTCATGATCTTCGTTGTTGCTTTGCCTTAAATTTTCTTTCTAAACTAGCCCACTTTGCTTCAGTATCCACTACTCTTTCTGTGTAGATTTTCCCACAGAGGCCATCAACCCAGTTTAATAACTCTATGGAAGTAATTTCAGCTGTTCAGGTTTGTGCAGAAAAAGAATTTGTTAGTTTGTGTTAGTGTTATAGACAGTGTACACAGTAAAGCAATTCCTCATCTCGTCCTTCTAGCCTCCTGCTCCTTTCTCAGTGTTTCCTTTTAATGATTCCAGTAGAACCCTTCCTACTTAGCCTTAATTGTAATGTAGGAATTACCTATTAGTTGATTAGAATAGTTAAGTATTTTATATTTAAATTGCTAGCTAATTACTGTTACACATTGATAACTATTGCCAAATGATTATTTTGTGGGTATATTCTATGATAATACAATAGACACAACTCATAACTGATTCTTTAGTCAGATAATCTCAAATTAGCTATTAGCAGTTTAACTCTCTTTGTGACTAGGGTCTATTGATGACCTCTTAAGGTTAGCATAGAAAGGATACAGAATTTTGAAGTGGTACTTTTGTTTGATATGATTTAGAATATTCCTGTGGTTTTTGTTAGGTTAGATTTCTTTTTAGTTTTTTCTGTCTAGGTCACATAAATTTTTTACAAATTCTGGTATGCTGCTTTCAGCAAAAAAGGTATCTTTTAGATACATAAAAATGGGACAGTATTTTCATATGTCAGGATGTTAATATTTATATTAACAAAAGTCAGTGTGTTTTGGCAGTTTAATAGTTTGTCCTGCATTGAAGCATATTTACTTCCTATGATAATAGAGTTTTAGTAGTTAGAAATTTGTTTACATTTATGTTGTATCTTTGCATGTATCAAAAAGTATTTTTTATATCTTTGAGTACTAAGAACTGGGAAAAATATTTTATAGCAACTTGTGAGAACATTATGATGCCTGTCTAAACACTTGCACAGGAATGTTGATTGCTCACAAGTTAAAAATTCAGCTGCTAACTAAAAGGTTGGTAGTTTGAATCCATCAGCCATTCCTCAAGCAAAAGATGTGGTACTCTGCTTCCATAAAGAGAAACCCCTATGGGGCACTTCTCCTCTGTCCTGTAGGGCTGTATGAATCGGAATTGAGTTGACAGCAATGAGTAAACACTTGAACATAAACAGAATAACACACTAAACACATGTGTTTGCTAAACCTCATCTTACTGGTTTTTTTTACTCATCTGGCCTTAACTTTCTGAACTTCCTCAGGAAAGGAGACAGTTCTTCACTGACCACGCCTAAACTTGGCTTTAGAACCTATTTTTGAGATTCTTTTTTACCAGTGGCATGATAGATTTTTAAAGAACACTACCCACAGAGTACTTTAACTTTCTCAAACCAGCAGAGCTCTTAAACTGTAGGTATTGACACTAGTTCAGAAGATGTAGAGGTTTTTCTAATTTTCTTTTAAATCATGTTTTACAGTCTTTTTCTTAACTCCCTCATCTGACTCTTCTTTCATTTTTCCACATTTGCTGGCATTATCTTGAGTAGATTTTGACCCCAAGACCATGTGACTTATTTATGGATTCCAGTGGGGTATTTTCACCAAAGAAGGTTGGTTTTCAAAAGATTTTAGAAATATTAAGAGTTAGATAAAGAAGGTTTTTAGGAGGCATTTCTATTATTAGATATCAGTAATTTAAATTTATTCATTAGGCTAAAGACTGGTAAACTTAAAGATAATAACTGGGATCCTGACTTTTCTTTCTCTTTGTCTCTTTTGAGAATTGGATCTTATTCACTATCCCAGTACTCATAGTTTTTTTAGCTAGAACTCATTCGTTCTTTCTCTTTGTTGTGGGAATGCAAGTAGGAATAATGCAAAAGTCCCTATTCTGGATACGGTGAGGGATCAAAGATGCCATCAGCCTTCTGTAGGTCTCTAGTTGATGTCATAGCCTTATGGTGCTGCCTTGCTTCAAGCTGATCATCTGTTAACCTTTTACAGACTCCACATCTTGTTAACCTCAATGAAGACCCACTAATGTCTGAATGCCTACTTTATTACATCAAAGATGGAATTACGAGGTATATTTGTTTCTTTGATTAATCAAATCACATAGTGTTTTCTTTTAGGTGATTGACTAAAGGAAAGTTGTTTGTTGAAAAATTTGTTGTATAGGAATTTGCTGGAAGTAGTGCTGAACTATCTTCTCCTCCCTTCCCACATTATGTATTTATTGTTGTTGTTGTTGATTGCCATTGAGTCAAGCATAACTCATAGTGACCCAATGAACAAAAGATCTGAAGCCTTTCTGTAACTACCATCGTTTCTCAAAGTTCATAGAATTTCCAGAGGCATGTTGTTTAGGAAGTGGATGACACTTCTGCTTCCATACTTTATGTATTTAGCCAGTCAAAACTAATTTACATGTTTTTTTTCTTAAGACTTTTTAAAAAAAGGTATCCTTCCAATATATTTTACGAACTTTTTAGGGGCATAGTTTACTCATATGATTTTTTATAATTGTGTGTAAGTTAAATTGGTGTATCTCTGCTCTTTTCTTATTGTGATGTAGGGAGGTTAGTCATATATGAAAAATAAAATTTGCAGTTGAAAGCTCCTGATACACAAAGGCAATATGTTTCTTGTATCTAAAGAGTACTCTTTGGGACAAAGAGGTTCATTGTTCGTAGTGTTTTTTGTGTCTCAATTTCCCTGGGAAATGCTTTCTGTTGTGTTCAGGGTTGGCCAAGCAGATGCTGAGCGGCGCCAGGACATAGTGCTGAGTGGGGCTCACATTAAAGAAGAGCATTGTATCTTCAGGAGCGAGAGGAACAACTGTGGTGAAGGTGAGCATTCCTGGCTTGAGCTTCTCCAGCATCCTTTTCATTGTATGTTGTGAGAAATCCCCAAGATTTGATATTACCTGAACCTTTTAAGAACTTTCTTGTATAGTCAAATTCTGAAAATGGAGAAGTGTAGGCTGCTTATAAATGCAGAGACACACATAGCTACTTTACATGAAAAAGGCCTCTACAAAAGGAGCCCCTTTTGTTGTTACATAGAATCGAGCAGGACATAGGCAATTAGGTTTGGTCTTGAATGTTAATTACCTACTAGAAAAGTAAAAGGAAAAAATACCATAGACAGTGGAGCTTTGCAAGGCCTCTGCTTTTATCCCAGAAGAATCTCTTTTTATGTTATTTAAAAGGGAAGAAAGAGTCTATCTTGAATTATCCCCCAGTTTGTTAACAAACTAATAATTTAGTGGTCTGGGGGTTGCTTTTTTTCCTATAAATTTACATCTTCCTAAATTTTTTTTTAAAAAACTGTTAGGGTTTTTTTTTACATCTAGAAGCATTTATTTTATGCAAAAAACTTAAATATGATTATGTGTACACAAAAAGTGCACGTTACCTATGCTAAACAATGTCAAGAAATAGAATTGATGCGATGGTGTCTCCTAAAAGAAACAGAAACTGAGCCAGACCGCAGACCAAAGCAAAACACTTATTTCCAAAAAGCACAATGAGAATGAGCAATCCTAACACCTCCGATCTTCCTTACAAAGCTGCCAAAGACCAGCTATTTTTAAAAAATTGACTTTTTTCCTTTACATCAGTAATAAAAATCTGGTGACAAACATTATAAAACCAAATCCTGGGTGGTCTATAACTCCTTTAAAATTCCAAATATTCTAACATAATCACAGGAGTAAAAACCATTTTAAAGTCATATGCTTTATAAAACAAACAACAATATGTACATTTATTGCAAATTATATTAAACTAAAATGGACAGGAAAATTAAAAAAGTTTACTACTCGTAAATCAATAATAATCTTAATTATTTTCTCACTCTGATAAAAATCAGAAAGCAACATTTATAAAATTGCCACCACATCACTTTTCATAGCAGGGAACCGAAGTCTGTACATCTCATTTTTGCAGAAAAGTAGGCAGGCAGAAAGAATGATACATAAAAGTTTCCAAAAGGAAAAACAAAGAAATACTTAATCTCTGATCTCTTCTATTCTTAAAAATTAATTCAGTAGACTTTTATTTTTTTTACTTGTGAAACATGGGAATTCCTGGCTCTAAAATTGATGGATTAAAAAAAAATGTTAGTTTTAATCAATTTTTGGCTTATTACCAGTATGTCATACTTGAGATTTTTGACAGTTTTTCAGTTTTCTTGATTGAAATGTCTTCACATTTTTTAAAAAAAGAAATGTCTTCACATTCATGGACACTGACATTTTCTGAAATTGTTGAGATGTTAATTCCAATTTAGTTAATTGTTGCCATGTCAGCCACAACCCCAAATAGTTTCTTATATTGGACTGAAACTGTCTGTTATCTGAAAATTCTATCTAGATGCTTCAGCTACTGTATTATCCCTGGGGTTTGTGATCCTAACATTAATTTGTGTTCTTTTTAGTTATTGTCACTCTAGAGCCCTGTGAACGCTCAGAAACCTATGTAAATGGCAAGAGGGTGGCTCAGCCTGTCCAGCTGCGCTCAGGTGAGACTGGGAGAGTGTGAAGTCTATGACAATGCATACCTGGCTAGTGTGAACAACGTAAACTTGACTCTTCATTTAAAGAATGAAATATGAAGATGCATCCATCCTCTTTTAGAGCTCCAAAAGCTTCCTTTTTGCATCAAAAAAAGTAAGGTTATTAA